GGCGCCCACACCGCCCCGCACGTGAGTTCGCCTTCTATTCTTATATCACACTCGTTTTATGTTTCGCGATGGCCATCTCATTCCATAAAAAATTAATTCTCACTTAGCTCCAGCTCAGCGAGTATTCAATATTTCTGATAAATTAATCTCCAAAAGTCACTTTCTCTCTCAATATTGTAGAATGCTACACCTGAGCATATGAATGTGTTCTTTTCAATAAAATTATTTTAAACTGTTACATTGATTGTTTCAGGCCAATACAAATTCCTAGAGAAAGAATAAATCGTAAAACTTCACACACCAGAAACGCTGCTGACAGCGCTGCCGCTGGTGATAAGAATGATAAAAATATAGCTATGTCTCACAAGCTCTCTCCGAAACAACAGAAAAATATTATTAGTCCTATGCAGATAAGAAGTACAAGAAATCTTAAAACCAACCTCACTACACAACAAAATAACATTAAAAAACGCAGATCGGTTATCGTAGTAACAAAGAAACCGCCTGGCCTCAGTCCGAAACAGGCAGCGAAAGAACCGGTCAATACGGAGCGAGTAGTCAGGACAAGTAGACGTCGGAAACTAGACCAAGTTCAGGAAAAATTGACGACAAAAGTAACCGCCGCAGAAACAAGAGGAAAGAGGATTCGCGCGGAAAGCGAAACAAACCTTAACAAGGGGAACGGGAACAAAGGACGTAACGCGAAAGCCTCGGATAAACCCAAAGAGAGTCCGCCACAAGGTAGAACAACACGTGGACGAAAGGCGTCCGCGGAGAAAGTACAAACACCAAAGAAAATGACAAGAACCAAAATTCTAAAACAAACCGTTGCTGTAACAAAACCGTCACCGAACATAAAGGCTAGAACTAGGAAGCTAAGTAAAGTAAATTTAAATGACAGGTCGCCTGTGAAAGACTTACGAAGGACTCGAAAAACAAACGCAAATCAAACAGACCCACCGGCGGAGATCGCCAACGGCCGGGGAAGAAGGGGCAAGGCGGCTGCGCCGGTTGCCAAACAAACTGCAAGTAAGAAAACGAAAAGGAACAAGTCGTACAATGAGGATTTGGATGCAGACCTTAAGCCGAAACGGGGAAGGAAAACTATCGCTCCCAAAAATGTTCAAGATGAGTTAAGCAATGCGCAAAGTACACAAGCACAAAAACGAGCGACACGAAACACTGTTAATGTTGAAAACGTAAACAAAAAGACACGAGGCAGAGCCGCGGTGCCGCAAGATGCGGTCGAACTTAAAAGACGCGCTAATAAAGGAGATACGGAAAATTCCGGCCGAGGGAACAAGAGGAAAACGGCCAACGAACAATCACCGTCTAAACGAGGAGCGGCCAAAACCAAAGTTGCAAACAAAGAGTCTGTTAATAGTGTGGGGCGCGTTGCCGCTGGAACCGCTAAGCCGCGAGCGACGGTCAACAGAAAAGGCAGGAATACGATCAAAGCGAAGGAAACGTGTGTAGAAGCTGGGGGCGAGGTTCCCGCCGCCAGGGGCTCCAAAGAGACAGCGAAACAGAAACTGCTCCTTACTGCTAAAAACGCGAACACCAACGTCGCACACAAACCGGTGAGTTTATACTATTACTAGCTTCGCCCGCGACTTCGTCCGCGTGGAATTAAAAAAAAACAAAAGTGAGAAGTCTATGTGTTCTTCCAGACTATCATCTACATCTATGTTAATTTTCATCGAGACTTAAGCTACAAAGTCTAATTTATCGATGGATGTTTGCATCCATCATCCATTCATCTAAACTTTTGCATGTATAATAATAGTTATATTCAATTAAGATTAAAATTCATTGTAGTTGATATTGACGTCGTCTTCTCTGCGTCTTATCCATGAATACCTAATTATGTTTCTGCCATACCATATCAAGCGTGTGTTTATTTTATGTAAAGTTTGCTGGAGTATATGTTGTCTCGTCGCAGAGCGCAGCGCCGCCCGCACGCAAGAGGAAGGCCGCCGACCCGGCTCCGGCTAAAGGTGACTAGTTTTATTAAAAAAAGAGTTATTTGAAAATATGCTGTGATTGCTGACATCTTAGGCAAAAAAGAAGTATGTGTTTACGCTTTATTATAATAGTATAGATAATACATAAGTAAAAAGTGTACGTTGTGTATTTCAGCGGGTCCTTTGGCGCCGAAGACGCGTCGCGCGGCCGCGGACAGCCCGCGCACTGCCCGCACTGCCCGCACTGCC